TTGCCCCATTGAGCAGAAAGGCAGTGCCGAGACACTGGGCAGCGGTGTGCGGGACTCAGGCTGCACCAGCGGCTCTGCACAGTCCCACACCACTCCTGCTGCTGGTTTTCCTGAGATTTCCAGCAGATCCGGCCATCTGGCTGGACTGGCAGAACAAGTCTGGGAAGACCACAGGTCTGGAACCAGGCGCTGTTGTGCAACTGCACGTTAGGTTTACACGTGCCCCAAATGACAGTTATAAAGTGGCTGAAGTAGCGTGTCTGTATTCCAGTATCCCTGGAGAGCCCGTTGCCTTCACAGCCCGCAGGATGGCTGCTCCTTCACAGGGATGACCTGGGACTTCTGTAGCAATCTGTGTGCTCGATGCTGGCCAACACGAGCTGGACTGGCTGCAGCAGGGCCAGAGCCCAGCCAGCACTGGGGATGGCAGCTGAGCCCCAGCATTGCTCCAGCAGCAACGTCTGCACCACCACTGGGCTGCCGTCACGCACTGGGGGATGAGGAGCCCAGCACCAAGGTGCCCCAGACCTCCAGCCAGGAGCTAGCACTCTGGGTTTGGCCCTGGACAGGGTTTCCCTGGCTCCGTTCCTCCCCACAATTATGGAGGTGATAAGCGCCAAGGAGCCCTGCTCCCTGGGTACAGCTGCAGCCCCACGCCAAGGGCTCATGCTCTGATAAAGCCCTATCGCAGCTCTGGAGCAGGCAGCGAGGGTGGCATTAACCTGGTTTTGACCCAGTGATTTCACCAGCATCATCGCCTGTGCTGCAGCACAAACAGGAGGCAGCTGGGGCATGGGATTTACCCGTCTGGGCAGGCGTCACTAGGCTGCACTCTCCTCTGGAGGTAAAGGAGAGGGCATGCTCCTGCCCAGCACCTCTTGGGGCTTCCCCACACCCATCTCCTGCCCCACACAGCCTGCACGTCCCAGCTGAGGAAAGGGCATCAAAACACAGCGAGGTTTGAGTGGTAACTCCCTGGAAAGAGCAGGTCCATGCATTGCAGAGACCCACAACAGCCCTGCCCTGGGTGTCACTCCCCAGCCTCGATAACGCTGTGATTTGGGTTTTTCTTTGCATTGATACCTGCTCTTCAAATTAAATGCAGTGGTGTACCTATGCTCTGCCGTGAAGAGGCTGCGGTTTTTTATGAACATGAAGAGTGACCGATAAAGCCTTGTGTCGGCCTGTGAGCTCTCATGTCTGAGGAACTCCCTTGGGAACAGCTTTGAACTATAAAATAATCACCCAGCCCTGTAAAACTGTATTGGTCAGAAAGGAACTTTGTCACGTTTCTGCTAGTTTCCTTGCTCCATAATACCTGCATCATGGACAAACACGACATGCCCAACAGCAATGGGAGGGGAAAAAACGTAGTAGTCTTCCAGAAGCCTCATTTAACAATTTAAGAGGGCATCTGTGAGAGCAAACACCCCACCCAGTGTTTCTCCAGCTTGGGGTGAGGTCTGGGCAGGGAGAGGCTCAGCCCCAGCCCTGCTGCTGCAGAGGCTGCTTAGGGAAGCAGTTTTGGGTGGTGCTTCCCAGGGCAGAAAGGTTTCCTCAGCCAGAGGTTAAATCCAAATCAAGGACACCTTTCTCCCCACAAACATGCTGGCACATGTAGCATCCTCTAGCGACCCCTCATACTTCCTGCTCCCTACCCAGGGGTGGGTGATGGCACACGACAAGCTGTTGGCAACTCATAAACTCACACCTCTTGGGGAAACACTCTCTTTTCTATTTGTTCTATCCATATTATTGATTTTATCCTGCCTGTTTTATCACACACTCGTTGTTCCGTGTCTTTGTTTGGACACATCCTACGCCCTTTTTCCCCTAGTTCTCTTTTGACTCATTCTCCCCTCGAACAGTCACCCCCGATGCAGCTGCATCTCAGTTGCCTCTCCCCAAGGTTTTCACTTACATTCTCTGCAGGGCTTTTTGGAGAGCAGCATTGATCCTGAACCACTTACCAAAGGGTGTTCTACAGAGTTTTCACTCACCTCTCAGCCTGTGTCTATCTTAAAGCTGGTGTGGAAACCAACTCCTAAAAGGTACCACTCCCCTCAGGGCACCAGCTCAGATGCAGCAGGATACCCAGGGCCTCTTTCATCCACCTGCTTCACACTGGATTATCCACTCCCCCCAGGACCAGCTCCAGCTAATGATGGATATTCATCAGCTGCGGAAGGCTTTAGCCTTCACGAACCACTCTGAGAGCAAAACATAGTTGGCATAAGTAGAAGAATCCAAGTTATTTCCACCGGGACACTGCTGGGAACACGTTTAGGAGCAGAATTTGCAAAGGGCTCAGCCTGGCGCTCAGGTGAATTGAAAGGGACTTGCTGAGCAGGAAGGTGCAAAGGGGATCTCAGGGTAAAACCTGCATCTAGCCTTGCCAAACTGCTAAAAGGGCAGATCTCTTCGGAGTGTGCATGAAAGGGACTGAGCAGTCTTCATGCTTCCCATCCTCTTCCAGCTTTGTGCCTCCAGCTTTCACCTGGGGTAGCTAAAATTGACAGAAACAAAGGTCTGTGGGAAAGTTTTAATCCACATGTCGTGCACTGGCTATGAAAGTGAGCAACAGATTGCTGCTCTGACAGCCTTTCCCCCAGCAGCCCACACTTGATTTCTGGAGAAAAAAGAGGGTGCCAAACCAAAACCGGGCATTTTTGAAGGTGATCAAAACCAAAGCCTTGCACTGCACCTTTCCCACTGGTGTGCTCCGAGCCGCTCAGCTACGTTACCTCTTCGCAGTCAAAGATCTTCAAAAGCTTTGCTGTGACCACCATGACCCTCCCGCCTCCCCCTCGTGCTTTACTGACCCACAAGCTCAGTATCCAAACCGGATGGGGTTTGGCTTTGTCTGGCATTCAGCTCCTAATTGGGTTGCTTAACACTCGGCTGCTAAAGTTCGCAGAGGGTGAGGAATAAACTGTGCTGGAGTAAGGGCAACATCATTAGTGCATCATGAGGAGGGTGAGGACATGGGTCTCCCAACCTCCTAGAGCCTCTTGGCATTTTTGGCTTATACCTGGGGCTTCATATAAGAAATACTTGACTCGCCACATTCAGGCAGGTAGATCAGCGTTGGAAGGGACAGCAGGAGGGACATAGCGCTCCTGCCTGCCGGACCCAGGTCTGCCAAACCATGGCAAATGATGATGGGGATTTACAGACCACACAGCAGCAATGAGTCAGAAGAAATGGTATTTAATTATGGTATACATTAAATTAAATGTCATTCTCAATAATGGTCTCCAGTTCATGATGACTTACTCACTGTAGGGCAACTCCTGTTAGTCCCAGCAAGGGTTAGGGTCTCACTGCGCTTGACATTGTACCTACACAGACCAAAAGAGCATTTTCTTGCCCCCGAGAAGGCATCCAGTGTTTTATTTCATAGCAGTGGTCCCCCATCCATTGGAACCTCTGCTGCGCTCCACCTCTAAACCACTCTCAGCAGTTGGCACATGCTGCAAAGCTCAGAAATAGTTTGCAGAAGTGGGGAGTGTTACAGCATTTACAAAGGAAGTAGGTATGGAGGAGCTTGTGTCTCCTGGGAAGGGAGATGATGCCTCTTACAGCTTCCGCAGCTCTGGGAGGTAGGACTTGGGCACCTGAAGCCCTTCAGGACCCTGGAAGGTGTGGAGCTCGGTGTCCTCAGCAGGTGCCCAGCGGGGATGTGCCCTCACTGCAGAGGTGGGCACATTCTCAGGCTGGAGATCTCGCTGTGGAGCTTTTCCGCCAAGAGCCGCTGCCAGGCAAGATCAGGCAGGCAGCCGACGCGGACCACAGCCCGTCGTGTTCACATCACACCCCAGTGCCCGGCCATCCGGCTGCGGCTTGGAGGTGGCACCATGAGGACGGGAGCACCGTGTTTACTGGGAAGGGTGGAGCCAACAAGGCTCATCATCACCCTGCTGATGGCGGAAGATAAACCACCTGTACTGGCCGTTTACTGGGCAGGAGACAACATAACTGGGCACCCAGTCCCTTCTGAGCCCCAAGGAGGAGAGAAAAGGGACACAGTGTCTGAACCCCATCCGAGGAAGAGCCCACTGGAATGTTTTGCAGTCTCATTCACTTCTGTAGCAGCAAATGCTACACGCTCAACTGGTGACTGCTGACGCTGAATGCTGCGCAGTGGTCTGGGTGTGTCGACTGGGCTGTTGAGCGCTCCCCCACCCCACCCCACCCCATCTCAGAGTCCCCAAAAGCAGAGGAGTCCCTTGAGATCTCTGTAGCAGCAGTTGTCCCCACACGGATCATCCGGGTCCTGCTGGGGCTTGGCTTGCTCCGTGCCCTTCCTTCCTGTGGGATGTCACCACGCAGAGGGCACGCGTGTGCCTGTCCTCCTGCAGAGCAGAGACCAGTGCGGCCTGACCGGCCTCTTTGCACAGGCCCAGGACTTTCAATTAACTCATTTAAAGGAAGAAGAGAAATACAAAACCAAACCCATCCTCAGCTCTGACCTTTACCAAAAAAAAGGGAGAAAGAAAAGAGAACAATATATACAGATGGGGTAATTGCACTTAATTACAGTAGTTTACATCCATTGGACAAAATTTACTTCTTTATATAAATCTCTATGTATAGGAGTGGGGAAGGCCAAGGATGGAGCAGACTGTACCTATATTTACAGTTTAATTGGCTCAGTTCAACAGCACACGCAATTCCTCCTTCCCAACACCAAGTAACAGACCCGAGTCCCTCTCAGTCTGTCGGGTGGAGGAGTATAACTTAAATATTATCCATCTTCCCCTTCTGCCAGTCCCGAGTACAGCTTGTTCCCAGTTCCTTGGGAGAGCCAACGGCCTCTTGGAAGTCAAACACCTCAGAAAAAAATCCCCAAGACACGTCTGGGAAATACTGCGTGGAGGGAAGGAGAGGCACGGTCCCGGGTGGGCACCCCACGAATCCAGGCTCATCTCCGTCGGGGCGCGGAAGGGCGACGGGGAGTCTCGAGCCTCCGGCTCCGTTTCAGGTTGCTGGGCTCCTCGCTGCGGCGCTGGGCTTCGCTCTGGCGACTTCCTGGGCTCGGCACCGGCGAGATGTTGTGGAAAATAAGATCCCGTTGCTATGTGCAAAAGCAGCGAGGTGTGGAGCATCACCAGGCTTGCAGGGGACACTGGGGAGGGAGGGAGAGAGCAGCACAGTGAGGGGCGGGCAGGCAGGCAGGAGGGGAAGGCAGCACTGGGGGGGCTCTGCAGAGGCACCACAAAGCATTCGGAGGCATCACCTTCTGCACCACCCGGCGCCCTCGACAGTGCCACACAGGCCCTGCTTAGCCCTGAGCTCTCCCCAGCACCCCCGAGGGCAAGGCAGAAAATACTTTCTGATACAAATATTGCCACCTTCTCCCAAATAATAATAATCATAATTTTAAAAGGGCCTGTTTGCACCCAGGCTGTTGCAGAGATTGTGCCACGCAGCTCGGCAGTGCTGCCAAGAGCAGCCAGGCGTGAGACTGAGCACAGGAGCTTGGGCTCAGGTGGGAGCGGGGCTGGGGGCCGTGCCCATCGCTGTGCCCAGCGTTGCCGTCACCTCTGGGGAAGCAACTGAGCAGCTCCCGCCGCTGCATTCACCCCACCGCAGCGGCCCCTTCTCCACCCCTCAGAGTGGGTTGCCCCACCCCGGGTCCTCCCAGTTACTGGTGGGGTAGGGGGCCAGGAGCTGTGGGTGACCTTGTGGGCTGGGGCACACAGCAAACATCGTAACGCAGAGATAAGGAGACGCCAGGAGCCTCCCTTGACATGTCATTAGGGACAGGCTGTGGTATCAGGTGTTTGCTAACGTAATAAAAATGGTGGCTTGGCCTCAAGCATTGTCAAAGGAACCGGGAGGTATTTGCCCCTTCCAGGTCTAAACAACAACATCTGATAAGCAATCTGCAGCATCGTGCGGTGAGGGGACAGCCCGGGAGGGTACCAGGGACATCCCTCCAGTCTCCGTCCCCGCCGGCAGGACCAGGAGCAGCTGGACTCCACCCCAGAGTGGGTTTGCAGGGTCTGATGTGGGGACTGTGGGGTGCAGAAGAGCTGCCGGGGAATGACAGAGGCTTTGCTTTGCACGAGGATGCCTCTCCTCTTGCAAAGAGGGGGTTGCTCAGGGAGCAGCAGCACGGCCTCCCGGGTTTGGCATTTCATGGGGGCTGTGCACCCTCCAGATGTATCTGTACACTTCCACCAGCCCTCACCCAGCAAACCGTGTTCCCAAAACACCTGGGGATCCAAGTGATCCTTCTGCCCTTTCTGGCCACCTCAGAGGAGCCCGTAGCTGCCAGACGTCCTTGTGCCCAGCGGTGCCCACCTTACAATGAGCCACAGTGTGCAGGAGCCAAGGGATGGCCCATATTAGCCCATCAGTGACAGAAACCCAGGTCACCAAAAATATTTAGGCATTTGAGCCATTGGGGGGTGGAGGGGTGGGTGAGCAGCATTTATGGGGCCTCCCTGCCACCTCTGCAGCCCTCCATTGGTCCCTCACTAGTGAAATGGGTGACCACTGAAAAAAGTCAGTGTTCAAGAATAAATGTTTCCAGTTTTAGCTTGAATATCAAATGTTGGTAGGAAAAGAGGCACCAGGGGCTGGGAGGCTGCACTGGGAGGGACAAGACCCCTGTGCCTGCTCCAGCTCTGAGGGGGGGGACAGGGACCAGATCCTGCCCCTGGCATTTGCAGGACCAGCCTGTGCTTGTTTGCCATGTTCGGGGGGCTAAGGGGGTGGGTGCGTGCCCCTTCGGTATTTTGCACCCGTGCACCAGAGCATCTGTGGGGGTCTGGCCCCATCTCCCAGGCCATGAGACCTCTTCCTGCTTTAATTAAAGTGCAAAAGCATGATGGAGGGGGAAAACTGAGGGAGCCCCCACCACCCCGGGCAGTGCTGCCTCAGGATAGGCTGATTGCAGCGTCCGGCCGGGCAGCAGGGATGGCCGGGCACTATCTCCTTGCCAGGGATATTTCCTGTGTGCCCAGGGCTCCTGTCGGCCAGCCCGGCATCAAAGGCAGCCTGTGGCGGGAGAGCACTATTAATCAGGGGGAGTTCGGGCTGAGCGCACACCAGATGGGCCGATAAAGCTGCTCGGAGGAAATGGTGCTCCCGAGGCGTGTGGCCGTGCCTGACCGCCTCCCGCACCCAGATGCACGGGCGCAGATAAATGGTCACCCCCAGCACTACAAAGCGCGGCAGCCTGACCCGAGCTGGGGGCGGTGGCGTTCATCACCCCTTCCCAGGCACCCCAAACCCTGTGGGCAGCCCTTTTCCCCCCTGCAGCCCCAGCCCCTTCCTTTCACCCCTGCCAGGCATCCACAGAGGGGGTCTCACAGCAATCCCACACCGTATTTACTCTGTGGTCATTGCAGACATATTTTTTCCTCTCCCCTGTCAGACCTCGGTAAGAAAGTTTATCTGAATGCAAGTTCAAGGCTCTCTCTTATTTATCTAGCAATCAATAAGTGCCACATATTTCCCACAGTCCCCAGAGCTGGCTTTTAGAAAGGGACTATTGTCTGAGTAAGGCCTTGCACACCTGATTTGAACCAGGATAAGTCCTGCCTGACACCTGCATCGGGCATTGGTAAAGGTTTACGGGCTGGGGGAAGTTGGGGTGCACTGCAGCCCGGCTCCTCTGCTCGACTCCAGCCAGGGTTGACCCACCCTGCACATGAAGGCAACAGAGCCTGCTTGGTCCTAAGCTCAGCCCAATTTGTACCCCGGTAGGATGCTCCCCCTCAGATGAAGTTGGACCTGGTACCACCAGGCGTTAGACAAGTCCTCATCCAGCACAGCCAGACCGTCACCCAAATCCCCATCACACTTGCCACCTGCCAGCCGTTTTTTCAGTGCCCGTGAAGGGGGTACCCTGAGGCTTATCCTCAGCTGCCCATGGGGTGCAGCACAGGCAGTGGGATGGGGTCTCTGCTACACCCCCCTCCAGCCCCATTTCCAGGGAAGAAACAGCCCCACTCCCAGCCCTGCGCACCCTCGGCCATGTCTGCCTGGCCAGTACCTGCTTACTGGAAGACATATTGGTCAGCGTGCTGATGCTGCTGGTGTCTGTCACCACCATCGCCGAGGGGAAGCGGGATGTGTGGGAATACTGGGGAGGCTCCTGTTTGTGTGCATACACTGTGGAGAGAAGGGAGACAAGCAGCCGTCACGGAACAGCTACCCACAGCCCTTGTGCCGGGGCGGAGCAGCCGAATGCTGCGTTAGGGCCGGTTGCAGGGATGCTGCATGGGAACAGGCATCGTGGAGACAGGAATGAGATAAAACCAGCCATGGGAAGAAACCACCGCCTGCCTCTAAGTCATCCCTTCTTCAGCTACCAGCTCGTCCAGGGAAACCAGGGGGACTGAATGGCTGGACTTGTAGCTCTGCAGAGCCCTGGTGCTGGAGCAGGGATGGGACCTGGATTATGGATGAGCCGGAGGGCTGAAGCCAGATCCCTTTAGGAAGCGTTTGCTTTGCAGGGATCACAATAGGCCCAGCCACCTCCTTCGGCAAAGCACTTTTAGCAGTAAGAGCACAGAAGGAAAAATAAAGTTTGTACAGAACAGTGCTGGGGGCTCCACCCCACCCGCAGGGCAGCAGCGGAGCTGTAGGGGAGATGCAGCACGGTGGGTGGCACGGGGGAAGGAGGGGGTGAGGTACTGCTTCTGCGCATCCCGCTCGCAGCCCTGTGCTGGCTGGTACCCGTCGAGAGAGGTAGCAGGCAAGGGCACAAGCTCAGGCAGGGAGAGCAGAAGCATCTTTTCCATCTGAACTCATTTTCCAGGCCCTTCCCTTCGCAGCTACCACCCGGACCCTTACTGTGCGAGTTCTGCAGCTGAGTTACGGTGGCCATAAAAGGCTGCTGTGTCATATGGCTGGGCGACTGCTGCATCAGTGGCTGCTGGTGCGGGCTGTGGAGCTGCTGGGAGACCGGGCCCGTCGCCAGGCCGGCCAACCTGCCAGCAACGCTGTTGATAACAGGTACGCTCTGCGCCTGCGAGGTGTTCAGACCTGGGAGGAGGGAGAGAGCAGAACAGGGACATCAGCGCTGATGTGAGTGGGCAGGGCATCCCCCTCCACGTCACAGGAGGGGGGGTCCATGCGGGGCGCGGGGGTGAGCTCGGGGCACACTTACTCTGTGCGATGGCCATGACTCCCGAAAGCGGCGTCATGATGAGGTTCTGGGACTGCTGCGGGTTGTGGTGGGACAAGCTGTGGATGTTGGTCAGGGTGCTCACTGGGGGCAGCCCGCCCCCCGACACAGAGATCTACCAAGGAGCAAGGCAGGACACCATCAGAGACACAGCCAAAGGGGCTGCTCCCAGCCCCCTCCCCTGCCGCAAAGCAGCAGCAGTGAAGGACTTCGCTGGCACTGGCTTCCAGCGCCACCGGAGCACAGTGCCAGGATATGGCACATCCCAAGCCTTTGCCATGTTGTCCCCCAAGTCCAAGCTCCTGCGCTTGGGGACAGCTGAGGTCTCTCAACACTCGTTAACTCTGAACTGTCATGGTTGTAGGGGAAAGTGGGAAATAGAAACTTGGGAAGGTAAAGAAAAAAGACAGAAAGCAGATAAAAAGGGCCTCGTGGTGATGATCTTAGTCACCACTTTTACAGTCAAGCAGGATACTGGTGAGACAGGGCGGGTGCGCTTAGCCAGAGCCAGCTCCCGGGATTTTGGGTCAGCGTTTCGGGATCAGACACACCAAGGCACTTGGAGGGTGCCGACAGGACTGTAGCCGGTCCCCAGGACAAACAAGGAGCTAGGTGCTTTATTTCTTTAATTGCTGCACATTCTCCTAGTCCCTCTCGTTGCACTGAGCAACCTCAGTCCAGATCCAGAGCCATCCTTGTGGCTCTTCATGTGACATTTCTGGACACCCTTCTGAGCACCTTGTTTGTTTTGCACATGTGAGCTGGAGATAGCCCCGCTGCAATTGAAACAAATCCATCAATAAATTCCAAAGCCCGGGAGTGACTCATGTTTCCTGATCCGGTATTTTCCACTTTCAAAGTCCCTTCAAGGCCAGGTTACACCACACTTGGCTGCACAAGTCAAACAGCTCGCAGTCAAACAGCGAGCGCACGCTGCTCGCCTGCAGCCCGGGCTCCTTTCACGGGGGGTTTAGACCCAAAGCACTGCACCCAGAATCACTTCTGGAGATTGCATGACTGGAAAAGACCCTGACTCCAGATGCTGGACCCTCGGGGGAGACCCTCTAGCACTACCACGGCTAAGGGCAACACTGGAACATGAAAGAGTGAACCACCAAAGTTTTCTCAGTAATGCTCCTCCCTGAAAAAATCGATTGTCTTCCGATGCAGCAGCTTCCTTGGCAGCTTTTGGTTTCATGTGGGGCATTAAAGGTCCATGTTTACTTACTAGAAACCACAGCCTACAGCATATTTTTATGAAATCACTTGCAAGCACTAGCTAGCCCTGCTTAAAGATCCGAGATAAGCTGGCAGAGCCGCGTGCTGCTGAGGACCCGACGGTGCTGAGCAATGTCCCTGCAGCGGGGATAACCCAGCAGGGCTCTTGCTGCTGCATGCCAGCACCTACTGCACTTCAGGAAGTTGCTTTTCCCAGTTTAACCCGCTGCATTTCTACGCAGGCTTCTCCTGTGCTGTCCGGCTGCTGTGAGCTCCCTCTGCCCTGTGTGAGGGTCTCTCCCTGCAAACCCACCCCTCAAAAGGAGCTGGTGGGTGTGCTGTCAGCCTCTGCCGCCCAGCTCTGCATCACTTCATCCCCGTGGACCCCCATCCTGGGCACTCGGTGGTGGCTGCTGCTGCCTTTATTCCTGACTCATTTTATAACTTATAGCTCAGGGCTTATAGCTTATTATAGCTCAGGGCTATAATGCTCAACACACTCCTGTGTAGATACAGGCACATTTGGGGTAGAGGGAGCAGGCTGGGGAGCTGGGGTTTTGCTCTGCAATATCCCCCCTGCATGGTGGGGGGCACTTGGCTTTGCTGGGTCAGTGTCCAAGCCTGAGGGGCTGCCCAGAGACGCTCATGAGCCAGAGCATGGCAAAAGGCAAGGCAAAATTAAACGGTGCTATAGCTGAGGGAGGGTCTGCTGAGCCCCTCTGCAGCCACCGAGCTTTGTGAGGAGCCTAACGCGACAGCCCAAGAGGGCCAACCCTCCGAAAATGGAAGTGAAAACCGGCATCAAGTGAGCTCAGCCCCGCCGCCCAGTGCCATGTTTGACTTTTGTTTTCAGCAGAAAAACCTCCTCCCGGAAGAGCAGCGGCCCCATGCAAACCTCTGCCAGCCTGCTCTGGGGAAGTGCTGTGCGTTCCCATCCCTCCTTTCTCTTTCACACCTCTGAGGGCTTTGCACCAGCATCCCAAAAGCAGCATCCCAAGTGCTCGGGGACTGGAAACCCAGCCCAGCCCTGCAGCTACAACCACTTCTTTGCAATGGCCCTGCAGCCCCTGGCATGGGGAGGTGTCAGGCACCCGGAGGGGATGTTGATGTCCCATCCCTGCTGCCTGCCACTGTGGGCACTGGCAGCTCTGCCCAGCAAAGTCCTTGTACATGGGAAAGGGGATGGGGAGAGGCAGGAGCTCCGGTCGGATACCCTGGGTGATGCTCCGGGGCGAGATAGTCCCTGCTTGCAAGGAAAGCACTTCCCTGGCAAAACTCCAAACTTGGGAGGGCTTAGGGGAAAAATAATGAATGGGCATTTTATCAATAGCCATGTCATTGGCAGGAGAAAACAAACAGCGATCCACCCAGCGCACATGCAACCTGCAAGGCATGCGATCAATAAAAACCTGAGCGAGGCTCTGCCAGGTTTACGGGCTGCGCTCGGAAAACACGCCGTT